CCAATAATGGTGAAAATAGAGATTCATTGATATTTAAATCTAATGTTTTATGTTATCTCTCATGTCCAATATTATCCTGAAGGGGCTTGTATTTGCTATGAAAATAAAATAAAATAAAATAAACAGGCACATGAGATAGGAATGCATCCTCAAATTCTTTTTTCTTTTTTTCCTTCTTAGATTCAGAAAATTCAATTTTAAAAATTTGAAGATTATCAGATATTTTGGTTTGTACTAAAAATCTGATAATTTATAGCAATTAGAATAATCTGTAACATGTAAGAAGAGTTCTTGACTTACAAGCGAAATTTATGAAAAATCTCTATGAACAATGCCATCCTTGATTTACTTTTTACCAATTCTACTTCTGCTGCTGAGGAGCTGCTACTGTCAAAGATTCCATCCTCATTTTCAGAACTGTTAGAGCTTCCTAAATTTGAAACCTGCACCCTTGAGCCTCCCTAGCCTCATTTTTCCTGACTCTTTCCCCAAAGATCTGTTCAGGAATGTTATTTACCAAGAAAAAAACATTAATTTAATAGAAACAAAAAACAAAAATACTGTGCAGTTTTTTGTTTTTTCCTAAAAAAATAAAAAATTGGGAGTTATAAGATCCCAGAAACAATCAGAGATGACACTGGCAAGACCTGTACTTTTATGTTAGGTATAATGTTAACCTGTATGAATTATCTCAGGTTCTACACAAACTAGAATATCTGAAAATCTATCTGGCGTCGATAACAGAATGACTATTCTTAAGTAAATTATTTAAAGCACTTTGAGCCTCACTTCCTTGTTCAGGATATTTAATATGTTAAGGTTGCAACTATATCTAGCTTCCCTCCTAACTCTAAAATTCTATAGTTTGGAGAATAGTAGTATACAATTCCAGAAACAGAATAGTCTGATGATCATATTACAGTCAGGTATAGGTGCTAGGTACTAGTCTGATTATCAGTATTATGGGTTATCAGAACCCACAGGTTTAAAGAGTTTCTAGTTAAGAAAGGACAAGATAACTCATTTTTTACCTGTCTATCCTAACATATTATTACATCATATACTCTGGTAGCATAGTGCCTAAGGCACTTGACTGCTAGCCAGAAGGCTGGTGGTTTAAACCCTCCAGCCACTCCTCGGAAGGAAGATGGGGCATTCCACTTCCGTAGTGATACTGCCTTGGAAACCCAAGGAGGGGTTGCTGTGAGTCGGGTCCGACTCGATGGCACATAACAACAACTACATACATTGAAATAAAGGAGAAGCATGAAAGGCAAATATTCAAGTTTTAAAGAATACCTCTGGTGCTACAAAGTTTGCAGTGTAGCATGGAGTTAAGAGAAGTCCATTTTCTCCTCGAAGTTGTTTTGCAAACCCAAAATCACAGATCCTTATGGATTCTGCATTGGCTGATTCATCCATGTATAAGATATTACTAGGTTTAAGATCACGATGGACAACCTTGAACATAAAGTGAAAAAAAAAAAGCATTAAGCTTCTATAGCCAACTTATTATCTGTGAAATAAAACATTTTAAGTTAACCTATTTCTATGGAAAGGACATTTATCACTTAACAAATTCGAGAATGACACTCTGTCCAATCTTAACAACCTGAAGTACACATAGAACATGATTTGTATTAGATATATGCTCTAGTTTCTATTCAACTCACCAATTGTGTTAACCATTTTCAATCTCAAAATATCAAAATTCAAATTTAAGTTCCACTTCTGAATATGATAGACTATCCACCATCCTCCTTTCCTAACAGTAAATAGCTATGAAACCTGGACATACTACAAAAAAGCAAATAACTAAAGGTAGAAGAGAGTGAACAGATTCTGGTGGGGAGAACATATTTGGTTGGAGGAGGGAAGATGGAGAGTTTTAGGAGTGGGTTCCTACATCTGTGGCTTTTAACCTGGAACTAAATAGAGTCCCCAGGGCACACATGATAGTAAGGAATACATGCAGAAAAATGCACAGTCTTTTTGGATTAGAGGACAAGAGAAGAACTAGAACTGACCAATGAATTACAAATGTGTGGGAGGTCCAAAGTTCCTGCTAAAGAAAAAGAGTTTGCAGTCTAAGTCAAGCCAAAATAACTGCCCACTAAAACAAAGGAAACAATAATACTCTATCGAGAAAAAAAAAAAAAAAACAGTAAGAAATCTCTACAACTTAATATTCATAATGTATAGGATACAATTCCAAATTTACTGATATATGAAGAACTAAACACAGTCTCAAGAAAAAAGAAAATCAAGTCTGACTCTGAGATGAATCACATATTGGAACTAACAGTTAATGGTGTAAAAGTGGCTATTATAACTATCTATCAAGGAGTTCTGGTGGAACAGTGCCTAAGGTATTTGACTGCTAACCAGAAGGTTGGCAAATCAAACCCACCAGTAACTCCATGGATGGAAGGTGGGGCAATCAACTTTTGTAAAGACTTACCAACTCAGAAACCTAATGGGAGTCGCTATGAGTAGGAATCGACTTGATGGCAGTGAGGTTTTTTTTGTTTTTGTTTTTTAATTATTAGTAGTATAACTTATCTTTGAAGAAGTAAAACAAAACATGTTTTGAATGCATGAAAATCCCAGTGGAAACATGGGAAGTTGTAGTAAAAAAAAAAAATAGAAATAATAAAAAAGAACTAAAAAGAAATACTGGAACTAGAAAAATTTCTGAAATTCTCTGATAATTTTCCTATTATTACTGTCTTCTGCATTTAATTTAATGCTATTTTTATTCTAAAATTTACTACACTGAAAGACATTTTAGATCAAGGAACATTTCTTACTCATCTTTGAATCTATAATACCTTTTCATGGCTAACATGTAGAAATACTGAAAAATAAAATGTCTGCCATTAATGTGGCAGAGCATGGCAGACTGCTGAACAATGACACAGCGACATGCAGGGTTCAAGCATGCCATAAGCTACAGACCATTCTCCACTCTGCTGACCTGGGGACTTTCAATGGACATGAATTAATGGCCTGCCGTGTGGTTTGGTAACATCGGAACTGTGCCTTTTTACTTGTCAACCTTGGGCTTGTCCGTCTCAGCAGCCAGTAGCTGT